GATATGAAGACTCGAGGAAGAGCAAACTAGCCATGTACCATACCGAACCGATGTGCTGAAAGAGGCAGAGCTGCATGAAAACCCCCCAGGTTCAGACACCGAGCAAGCAGTTCCTGAAACCACAGCTGGCCGGCCACCATGGGGCCATGAGGACTACTCTTTCCTTGTTCAAGCGAGCTAGGACCTGGAGCAACAGCTGAACCGGGGGGAAGAGGTACAGGAACCCCCACCTCGACCAGTGTTGCCTGAAGGAGTCGACCCCAATAGCCTCGCAATCGAAGAAGGGTGCCACATGTAATGGGAGACACTTCGACCACGCCGACACGAAGAGAGCCCACCTCTGGGAGCCCATACATCCGGCAGAGCCAACTGAACGAGTCGGCATCGACCGTCCATTCCGTGGACAGGGGAATGAACCGAGACAGACCGTATGCCAGGATGGCAGACACCCCCCGAACGTGAATGGACAAACCCCAAGAACTCAGCAGATGAGTGACCCGAAGCGACCAAGGACCACATTGAACCAAAGAGATACAGCTGGTAGGGGCCTGACAGCTGAGTGGACAGCGCTTCAGATTTGTAGTCCTGAGGTTCCAGGTTCGATCCCCGGTAAAGGCAGAAATAAATGGGCAGAGTTTCTTTCACCCTAATGCTCCTTTTACCTAGCAGTAAATAGGTACCTGGGAGTTAGACAACTGCTACAGGCTGCTTCCTGGGGGTGTGTAACAAAAAGGAAGCCTGGTCAAGGACCGGGCCGCGGGAACACTAAGCCCCGAAATCATCTCATTTCAAGATAATGCTCTCGGTTCAGGCAATGAACCATCAGGGAGCAGTCCGAATGGAGCTTGATCGTCTATCCACTGGTGACCCGAACCCTCCGAAGCAAATACCACACAGCCGTGTACCCCTGCACTGTGCTGTGGAAGGATGGACCTCATTGCCCCTGGCTGGGCTGGTGAGCACTGGTAACAAAGCCTCAGCCTAGAGACGATGTGTCCATGAACGCATCGAGTAAGGGCTCGAGTAGGCGCCAATGCACTGAACCCTGAAAAACCCGAAGAGAAAGCCGACGACGCAGCAACCGACGCAAAGCCCCGGGAGTCCGAACCCAGCGATCGCGAGAGAGGCGGAAGGGACGTCCCTGAAGGAACCAGAACAGCCACGAAAGCCACACCTGGTCCAGCAAGTAGACCATCACGGCAAAGTTCAGGCTTCCCATACAAACCCTCGAGCAACTGCCGGGTGACCCATGGATCCTGGGAGCCCCTCAGAAACATGCAAACGCGGGACCACAGCCAGAGCAGAGAATTCAGAGGAAGAGACAAGGAAGTGGTCCAATAGTCCCACACAAGACCTAGCCAAGTCCGAACCTGGGAAGGAACCAGATGCGACTTCCTTGAGTTCACCAAGAATCCGAACCTGGCGAGCTGGAAAAGAACCAAATCCCTGGGGAGCAGACATGCGAACTGGCTGGGAGCCCATACCAGCTAGTCGTCGAGATAGACCAGCACCTGAACACCTAAGAGACGCAGACGGGTCACCACGACCCAGGTAAGGCATGTGAAAACGCGAGGTTTTCAACCCGAACGGGTGACAGCGAAAGCGGTAACTGATATGCCTCGTTTAAAACCAAGCCAGTCCCTGAACCCCGGATGACTCGGGACATGCCAATACATGTCCCAGAGGTCCAGGGACACCATCCATGCACCCGGCTCCAGCAGAAGCCGGACCTGGGACAGAGTAGTCATCTGAAAGGAGGGGCAAAGAGCCCAGGGGTTCAGATGGGACAAGTCCAGAATGAACCTCAGTTCCACACAGTCTCGTTTCCGTACTGGGAACAGACGGGAAACCGAAGCCAGCAGGCCTTAAGCACGCAAGTCATCAGTAACCAGGGGCAGCCGAATGGGAGGGAACCTGCACGTGAAGTTGCATTATGCCATCATGCTGAGGAAGGGTTGGTGCGAAGAAGTACTCATTGTGGTGCTCAAACTCGCCCCCCAGGAAAACATGGACCACTGTCAGTGCCTCACGCCACTCAAGCGTGCGGGAACAACAGAACGTATGCCAAACATCCAAAGAAAACACAGGACAGTCTGCCAGCCAGGACAACTCCAGAACCTCATGCTGAATCCAGTAGGGAAACGAAGACCCAAATCTGAAAGTAGACGGATCTATGATAGTGGTGTAATCTGTGTCGCACATGAGGTAAGCCGCAAAGGTGTCCCGCACCACATGAGGCTGGATGCAGGAAGCCGAAAGCCTTTGGAAAGACGGGACCGAAGCACCCGAAGGGACACGGAACAGAACCCAGGGAGAAGCGGACACCAAATCCAACTCATATGCAGAGGGGGAAAAGAAAACCCCACTCCTTGCAACAGTAAGACCCGCTCAGAGGGTAGAAAAACCCCGATGGGGTCCAACGTGGCCCAAGGCCCCCAAGTCTCTGTGGCGTAGTGATAAGTCACTCGCCTGGCGTTCCACAAGCGCTTTGTCCTGGGTTCGTATCCTGGCCGGGGAGGATTTGCTGGGCGCAAATACTTAACTGTAGCCTATGTTTAACTCAACAGTGAAATGGGTACTTGGTTGTAAAAACAATTCTTCGTTTTCGGGGTTGTATTCCAGGAACATAGGATTAAGGACTTGCCCGAAATGCTACGTGTACTAGTGGCTGTACAAGAATATATCAATAAGTCAGCCCATCCCCAGCCTTGGGAACCACCACATCAGGACCCAGGGCCGAGTCGTCCCCCAAAGTCCCAGCCTCAAAAGAAAAGGCCGGCACAGCCATAGAAGCCAGAAGGAAAGGGGGCCCACTGGTCAGACCCAAACGCTTCGGCAGGGAGAACTGACTCGAATGCCTCCATCACCAAACCAGAATGGGCATTCCCCGAGATCGCCCGAGTCTCAAGACCATCTAAACCTTGCCCCGACCCCGAAATCCACAGACGTTTCGGAGCCAGATGCAGGGGGGTGGAAGGACTAGATCGAATCACAGCAGGGGAAGGACGAGGATGTGCTGACTGAACCAAGGCCAAAGTGACCAACACCCCCAAGCACAAAGCGAGGGGGGGATCTCGGGGGCCTCATCATCAGACCCATGTGCCCCCGTGGGGATTCCCAGAGTCCTGAGATGGAACTTATGCACAGGGAAACCCAGGCAGGGTATTGCTAACCAGCTCCCAAGTCTACCAACAAACTTTCTAGAAACTGAATCCCCGGGATGTGTCCACTCACGGGGGCCTAGCAGGGGATACCACCAGAAGCACACACAAGCTTACTAGATAAAGGGAGCAATAAAACAAAGGCACCCCCCCCCTCCCCACCAGACAGGGAAAACATAAACAAAACCCTGCAAGAGGACTACGTACCCAGATAAAACAGAGCCAGCCGCTATGAGAGGTGACAACTAACTGTGCAGTACGCTGCACCCCTACCAGTGCAAACTACCTCTTACCCTAAGGCGAACAAGGGTGCCAGAAACACCCCCAGCACACAAAGGGCAGCCCAAAGCCAAGCAGCAAATGGACAAGCAGAGGCAGAACCTAAGGAACTTGTGGAAGATGGCCCCAAACCCCAAAGGTAGTACTTACCGGGCACCTAAGGAAGGTGTCCCCTAGGCACATGCAGCGGAGTACTGAAGAAATTACTCTTGGCTCGTGCACCCCCAAGGAACAGCCCTAAATCACTACGCACAGAGCTGGAGACAAATCAGGAGCCAGAGCACATGACTTCGGCCTAGCAGTTAGGGAGCCGTTAGGGAGCGTTAGGGAGCCGGTCGACCGAGCGGACAGCACACTGGATTTGTGATCCTGTGGTCCCGGGTTCGATCCCGGGCGCTGGTGAGAAACAATGGGCAGAGTTTTTTTCACCCTATGCCCCTGTTACCTAGCAGTAAAATAGATACCTGGGTGTTAGTCAGCTGTCACGGGCTGCTTCCTGGGGGTGGAGGCCTGGTCGAGGACCGGGCCGCGGGGACACTAAAGTCCCGAAATCATCTCAAGATAATCTCAAGATAGCACATCAGCTTCAGAACTGGGGTTTTGGGTAGCCAGCATGAGGGGTCTGGGGCTTCCCCTTCTTCCTTCCTGGGAGGGGGGAGCTGTGCAGATGGCGGCACAGTGACGTGGTGATGTCATGCTCATTTGCTTGTTTTTGTTTGGGGAGTTCTGTGCTCTAGTTTGGTTTTCAGTAGCAATTTCTTAACCAGAATAAAGGTTTGTTTTGAGATACTGACCTTTCTGGGTGCCTGACCCAGTTGATGGCAGACATAGAATGCTTCCAACAACACGGGGGTTTCTGTAGGCCATTGCTCCTCATGCCTCTCTGAGGGGGAGGGGGCCAGGTTCTGGCTCGCGGTACTTGATAGGCCTAAGAACTCCATTCACACTGACTGATGCCAAAGTCAGATATAGCAATATCAACCTGGATAGCTCTGTGGGAGCCATAGGGACTCCCCTAAGAAAACCAGTGTTGAATATAATGAAATGCCAATTTCTGGGTAAACCTCTTTGACTATCTGACACCTTTTCCCAGGGTATCGAGGTGTTTCCATCTTCGTAGAACTGAGGGTAGAGCAGCTGGCTAACCCAGGGCTGTCTCTATTTTTTCCAAACACGGGGCAGGTGGGACAATTGAGCTAACATTAGTTTCACAAATTTTCAATTGTTTACATGGTTGAGGAGTTCTTTTGGCTGGTCTTGAGGCTGTGGTCTAGCTTATAACCAGAAATGATGAGTTTTGTATTGCTGACTTTCCGGGTGCTTCCCTGCTGGTGGCAAACACGAATAAAATTATAGTAATGTTACCATAAGTGCCACTGCTCTCTGCATCTCTTTAGAAGGTACCAGGTTCTGGCTAATGGTGCAAGTAGGTCAATAGAACTCTGCTACTAATGTCACCTGGTAGTATAGCACTATCAGGGATAGAGGCTTCAGGGAGCCAGTGAGGCTCACCTAGAAATTGATGTCTCATTACATTCAATGCTGGTGTTTTGTGTACAGGGAATGCATGAAGTACTTGCACCATTGATCTTTGTACTTCACTGTGACCATCAGGCTTACCAACATGCTCAAGAAATAGACTCAACTCCGTAAGTACTTCTGAAAGTCTTATTTGGTTATATTCATGGCTGGTATTTTCTTTATTGCTCTGTTTATACTTTTAGGTACATTTACAGTGTTGACCAGTTAGTCATAATTAACCCTTTCGCTGCATCACTTCGATAAGTCTGGTTCTTCTTGCATAAAATGGGGCTAAAACCCAATGTTGAATGTAATTAAATGTAATTAAATTAAACATTAACCACAACTAGTCCTGTTAGGCCCACCAGGGACTGGAGCCAGAACCTGAACCCCCTCACTGATTTTAATTTTAATAGTTTTAAACCACCAATTTACTGGGGCAAAATTATCTACTTGACACAGCATATATATATACGTACAGTATTTACATAACTACAACAAAGTAATTGTTAGAAAAGTAAGTATCACACGTCACAATAGCTAGATGTTAATAAGCAAAACTAACGGGGTCGGCATTTTTTCATTTCGTTAACAGTTCATCCTCACTCTAACGAACCCCGCTAGAGCAAATTCCTGGAAGATCCGAACAAATTGAATTTGGTACTAAATGTTCAGTGGAACATACAAATATTTGATTAAGTGAGGATTGTTCGTCCAAGTGATCACCGAGACCGAGCTGTCATCGTTGACGACAGCCACTGTCATCAACTATGATTCACTAAATTGTAAACAGTTGTACAGTATTATATTTTGCTTACATATTGTTACCAGTGAGAAATGGTTGATGGATGAGAAATGGTGTCAGGGGAGGCAGGTTGCATCATTGGTGAGGGTTGGAGTCTGGGGGCAAGTGTTACGGCCCTCTCGGGTCGCAACTGAGTTTGTATTCTGATGTTATTAGAGGAAGTAGTATCCGGCCCCAAGCCAGTAGTGGCTTTCAAGGAATGAGATCCGTGACGCAAGTAACTTAAAGAGGGAAGGGAAAGAAAGTTAAGAACTTAAGACTATAATTGTTTCCATCACCAATAAATAATATAATAAAAGAGTGCACAGGGGGGAGGGGTATTAACACTGTACAGGGGAAATACACAATCGTCTTCTCCTGAAGACTCTGGATCCAAACTCTCGGTGCCAAGTCCTCGGTGCTTTCGTGGCCTCACAACGAATCCTTTGAGAAGCTGAGTCTACCCTGGCCACAGGTCAGCCAAAACACAGTTCCACTGGGGGCACCGCCGTGGAGGCCGTCAACCACAAGTCCAGCAGGTCTGCTGGCAGGTTCCGGATCAGCAACGCTGGTCAGGCCACTCCACGAGCGATACTAGGGTAGCGCCCTAGTCAGGAGCCTCGTGTGATACCACAAATCACTCTCCTGTCCTCAATACCCCAGTGGTTAATCGTCTCCAGCAGTCGGTCCCGGGTATCACAATCCTTCACTGCCGCTCCACAGGCAGGGTAACACCACAGTGTTCTTCCGGGAGACGACTTCACAGCTGCTGCAGCAAAGCACAAGGTATGGAGACGGCTGCCTTGGGTAGACTGACTCAACTTCCATCACAGCAGTCCCAGGTCGACTCTGTAAGCAGACACGTCATCAATAACAGGGACACACTAAAGCACCTCACTTACAGGCTCAGACACAAACGCCCGACGTATCCACTCCATAGATGGCGATGTCGTCTGAGCACCACCTCACCAGAGGTCAGCAGCGGCTGTGTTATGTGCTGAACAGGACTGGAAACTGGCCCTTGTGACCAGTACACTTTGTCCTCACCAGGTGGCATCGTCCATTTGGTGGGGGTTTCGGGAGCTGACCCACAGATGGCGCGGTCGTCACTGCTCCGGGCTCGGACGCTGGATTCGGGTCCGTAACACCTCCCCACCAAAAAGAATTTGGTTTGGGTTTCTAAAAAAGAGAATCACAAACCAAATTAGTACGGTGACACAACTCCAAATGGACTCACTTATACCGTAAACTGGAACGGCGAGGCTGTCTCGTCCACAGAACTGTCCTACTGGGGAACTCTCGCACAAAGGAAAGTTGCAGATGTAAGGCAATGTCCTGCCTGACGTAATCTTCCACGTCTCCACTGCGATGTCAAGCAGGGGCATCATATCACCTCTCTCGAGTAAGGATCGGTGTAGACACGATGAGGGGCGACTCGACACTTTCCTGTGTCGTGGCACCGATGATGGCTGATCACAGACGGCATTTCTGGTACCGGTCCGATGGTCCTTCAGGGAGACAGGAACCTGGAATACAGGGGTCGGATCATTTAGAGTCACAGCGACAGTTACATCAGTACTCACAGCAGACTCCTCTACTAGGCTCACACCTAGTTCCAACGGGGCTGTTCGTACATCGAAGATGGCATTCGCTCTGCCACCGTCAGGTCGACCAACGTTCCGCACAACGCTGCATTGAGGCTCAGCTATCACGCGGGGGGTGTCAACCTGTCGGAAACAGTCACTCATATTATCGTATCGCGTACCTCCTGTATCAACCATTACCTTCCAGGTCCCTTCTTCGACTGCAACATTCACTGTGCACGTCTCCAATCCCTGGGACCTCTTCACGATGTTCAAGGGAGCCATCATCCTTCGGGTCGTCCACTGGTCCTTACTGAGAGCACACACGAGAATAAAACAAAATACCGCTAAGAAACATTTGGTTAACTTAGGGACAAGTTTCCTGAGCTTGAAATGTCCATAGCCGGCTACATCCATTAGCCTGGTTTGGACTGAAGAGGGCTCTAGGACCTTCGCACATACCTCACATACCTCTGACGCCTGGGGAATCTCTGGCCAGTTCCATGAATGTGGTATCTTGCCATACCGCAAGTACTCATCTGCCTTCGCTCCAGACTCGTTGGTATCCGTGGGTGCCTGCACACAAGGCCTCTCTTCTAGCTCAGGTACTTCTGCCATCGCAACCTCATGTTCCTTGTCGAGAGAAGAATCAGGAGTCTCTGCTAGAACACTGTCGATCTGCGGGTGAGAGGGAGGATTAAACTTACTTAAATCCGGGTCTGTCTTTACCTGGACATTACCTCTGCCTGTTGTCACCTCTGACCTTGCTGTTTCGGCTGACTCGTCCACAATCTTGGGATGATTGGTGCTCCAATCTGTCACCAAGTCGTTGGCTAGTACCACGTCAATCCCAGCCACAGGGAGGGTATCGACTACTGCCAACACACATGTGCCGCTGAAGTAAGGCGAGTCGAGATATACCGGCACTAAGGGGGCGATGTACTGCATCCTAGGAAACCCAACCAGGACAACCTCTGGTCTCCCATCCACACTTACTCCCTCGGGTAACGAGCTTCTCACGATCAGGGACTGGGCTGCTCCACTATCTCTGAGCACTACAACTGATCTACCAGTATGATCACTCGATACATACCCGCCTGAAGTGTGAGGGGAAAACAATCTTGGTCCTTCCTGCGTCGTCGTCGACTGGCTTCCTGCTGGTGATGTTACACATCACCATCAGGAAGTGATGTTACTCATCATCATCACCTCCCTACGTGCGCCGCCACCTCTTCTGCCTCGGCACATAGCAGCTACATGCCCTTTCTGCCCACAAGTCCAGCACACCACATTCCTCCTCGGACTCCGGTGTTTTGGACTGCTAGGACTAGTCCTTCGAGGGCTACTTGAGGGTGTCTTCTTAGCGCTTTGTGGGACGGGTCTTTCCTCTTCGTCATGAGGTCTGTCAAACCGGCGTTGGTAATTCCTCGGGACGTACTTAGCGGAAGGCCTATGCGTCAGGATGTATTCCTCAGCAATGGTGGCTGCCGCACTCAAGGTCTCCACCTGCTGCTCCTCTAAGTACGTCTTCAGGTCTCCAGACAAACAATCCTTGAAGTCCTCTAGCAGTATAAGCTGCTCGAGGTCTTCTTTGGTCTCCACCTTCCGAGAGGCACACCATTCCTGGAAAAGTCGCTCCTTGATGGTGGCGAATTCGGTGAAAGTGTGCTCTGAGGTCTTTTTCAGGTTCCTGAACTTCTGCCTGTAAGCCTCAGGTACCAATTGGTACGCCATGAGCACAACCTTCTTCACCTTGTCGTAATCGCCGGAGTCGTCAAGGGATAACGTGGAGTAGGCGATTTGGGCCTTCCCAGTCAAGACTGACTGTATCATGATGGCCCAATACTCCCTTGGCCACTCCAAAGAGGCAGCGACTTTCTCGAAGGCTGCAAAGAACTTTGACACTTCTTTCTCATTGAACTTGGGGACCATTTTGATGTTCCTTACCGGGTCAAAACTGCTGCTTTCCGTGGTTGGCCTCCGACCACCGCCTAATCGTAATACTTCTAGTTCATGTTGTCTCTGTCTTTCTTTTTCTTCTCTCTCGCTGTTTCTCTTCCCTTTCTCGCTCTTCTCTCTCTCTTTCTCGTTCTTCTCTTTCTCTTTCTCGTTCTTCTCTCTCTCGTCTCTCTTCTCTTTCTCGTTCTTCTCTTTCTCGTTTCTCTTCTAACTCTAGACGCCTCATCGCCAATTCCTTTTCTTTCATCTCCATTTCTTTATCTTTTAATTCTCGTTCTAATTCTAACTTCTTCCACTCTATCTCGCGATTTATCTCTAAGGCACGCATTTTGACTGTAAGAAAGCTAATGTTCAGCTCACCTGCATCACTGTCAATGTCGCTGCCCTTATCTTCCTTTTCCGTGGAAGCTATTTCCTCACCTTCCTTTGTACTAGGAGTCTCGCCTTCCTGTTTCTCTTCTGCCTTCAAGTGCCGGTGAACCTTGGACAAGATCTCCACACGGGAATCACTGGCACGGATCTTGATCTCCAGGTAGGCGCTCACTAGTACAAGTTCTGGTTTGCTCAGATATTTTAATCTGGCAAGACAGTCCTCTCTGTTCAGAAAAGCCTGGACATCGTCCAGATCATCGATGGTAGCCTTTTCTGCCATTGTCACAGATGGAACACTTAGCACTTAACACACCGCTTTCACGTTAGCACTTAACGCACCGAGCACTGTTCTACGCCAATATTGCACTTTATCGCACCAAACACTGCACTTGCCAATATTGCACGTAATTACTTCGGGCACCGCACTACA